ATCCATCCATCCATCCATCCATCCATCCATCCATCCATCCATCCATCAATCCATCCATCCATCCATTATCTTTATCCACTTCTTGCTTTTGGGTCATGGGGTTCACTGATGCCCATATCCAGCTATCATTGTACGAGAGGTGGGGGACACCTGGACAGGTCTCCAGTCCATCACAGAGACACAAACAAGAGAGACAAACAACCATTCACTCTCTCACTCACATCTAGGGACAATTCAGAGTTACCAATCAGCCTAACATGCATGTTTTTGGTCTGTGGGAGGAACCCGAAGTACCCGGAGAAAACCCACGCATGCACGGAGAGAACATGCAAACTCCACCCAGAAAGGTGCCCGGCCGGGATTTGAGCCGGCAACCTTCTCGCTGAGAAGCAGCAGCTTTACTGCGCCACTGTAGGTCATGAAACAAAAAATGAAGAGTCTTGAGAAAATCTTCAGATGTGTTTCGTTGCGCTCTCATCAAATCCTTGTTCATTTGACTTATTATCAATGTCTGGACACTTCAAGAAGCAGAAGATGGGGGTCACAAGTAGTTGGTCAGAAACTGAAATGTTTGGGAACCACTCCACTAGTGGACTGACTGGTGGAAACATTTGCTTCTGCCTGGACAGTATCCTTCAATATTCAGATTCCTGCCTTGGACAGCACAAACAGCTGCTTCCTACTCTTCACATTTCTGAGAATCACAGTTTGACTCTTCTACCAGAACAGCTGTGGAAAATATTTTACTCTTTTCCCATGTTGCACATCATCTTTTACCATATAAGGCATTATTACCCATGATGAGAGCTAATATTTTAATATTGTGCACAAAAATTAAACAGAAGAGAGCGAGGTAACATTAGTTCGTGGTCACCCTGAACTGCTCCACATAAAGTTTGTTTGGACAGGATAATAATTAACAAAACTCACTTTTGGAAGTCACTTTAGTGAGTTTGTCACTATTGTGTGGACCAAATATTCCTCAGAACATGTTGAACTCTGTATTTTTTCACAACTTTTACCATCTTTTGTTGCACAGCAAGTATTCCTGATTTGTCAGGTTTACTCTTCTTTGCTTCTCACATACATAAAAGTATAAACACATCTAATGAACTT